ACCCCTAGAGCTAGCACCCTGAATTTGGACTTCTAGCCTCCTAAATACCCACTTGTGGTATTTCTGTTATAGCAGCACTAGATAACCAAGACAGGGACTGTGATATAAAATGCATTAGCAAAACTGGCGCTCCTTCCTGCCAAGTCTACCCCAAGGACAAACTAAACCAGTTGCCTTCAAGATGACTCCAATTCATGTTAACTTGGGGTGTGTCAGAGTAGCATGATGCTCTATAGGGTTTTCAATGGCTGATGTTTCAGAAGCAGATCACCAGGCCTTTCTTCTGAGGTGCTTCTGGGTAGACTCCAAGCTCTAGCCTTTCAGTTAGCAGCCGAGTGTATTAACTGTTTGCATCACCCAAGGACTCCAAAGGACAAACTAGAGCCTATTATTTTAAATCATGGTAAAACTGAGTAGAGTATCAACTTCACAAAATGTAGACCATGGTTAACTTTACATTTCCTTTTACTCAGAGTGAGTGGAAGACTGATCATTTTAGGGAAATCAAGTCGTTGCTTGCTATTGCTTACTTAGATCACGAGAAAATAAAGAGTAAAATTAACCTCTCCAAGCCATGGAGCTATCCTTGCCCAACTTAATAAGCACTAACTAATCCAAAAGGAAAATAGCCATTATTTATACAGCTGTAATGTGGATGCAACATGGCATGTAAATCAGTAACTCTCTTATTGCAAAACAGACAAATAGATTAATGCATGTTGCAAAGGATGGGTGAAGAGATCGATTAGGTTACTGATTCAGACCATGAACTTTCTCTCAATATACTGCATTTAACTTTAAATAAGGTTTAGGCAAACCTGTAACATTTTGCTCACTGACAGAGCTATATTTTACTAAGGGTAGAAATTGGCTAGTCTATAAAAATTAAATTATGCCCCTTTCACTGTATCTAGTCAAGAGGAAATACTCTAATTACAAGATTGCACTGTCAAACAAATGCAAATTCACATTCTTTATACCCTGGTTTAAAAATTCATACTCAGGGTAGGGGTAGGGTTTCTATTCTGAAATGAAAATCAATATTTGAAATATTTTGTGGCTTGCAGTGACAAGCAAGGGCAAAAGAAATGTCATTACCAAGGGTGCTAGTAAGGAGCCGCTAACTCATTAAGAGCAGAACACGTGAGAAGTCATTTGTTATATAAACATTTAAATATCAATTCAGCACAATGAAAGAAGCTGAACCTATCCTTCCCTTCTCTATAACCTGTGCCTTCTTACCCCCAGAAATGACCAAGGGGAAAAGAACATCGAAAATAATTGCAGCACCTAATAGGGATGCCACTCTGGGGAATAGGTAAAAGTTAATTTTAAGTGCACTTCCCACTTCAAAATTGAATGTACACGTTTCAAAATTCATAAGAGCTGAGTTTGCAGACTTAATCCAGGAAGGCCTAACTGAAGGCCTGGGCATATTGCATTGCTAGAATTTTTTGGAAAGAGAACGCCTTTTATTACTGCTTAATGTCAGACTTGCTTGGTTCATTAAAATCTCGTAATTTGCTTGAAAACCTGGTTTTTCTGAACCTATAAAAAATGCCAGTCCACAAAGCACACAATCTCTAAAAATCCGACTGGTTTTCATATTCTTTCGACATCAGTCTGCTGCTCATCTGTCCACTTAACCAGCCCATTCAGGTTGTCAGATGAACTTGGTGGACACTGAAATTGTCTCAGCCCTCAGAACTTTGCCTGAATGATCTTTTCAGGCAAACCTGGCAGGATATTTACTATGCAAGGTGCTGGCCAGCTGGTATTGTAGCAAAGCTGCTGCCCCAGAAGCAGGCTTCTAGTGCCTCTTAGGAAATAGTCAGCTGGTGGACTTGGACCCAGCGTTTAACTTTTCTGGGCCTTATTTTCTTCCTCTATAACATAAAAAAGGAGTCCTGGTGGCGCAGTGGTAAAGCACTAGGCCACTAACCAAAAGGTCAGCAGTTCGAACCCACCAGCCGCTCCATGGGAGAAAGATGTGGCAGTCTGCTTCCATAAAGATTACAGCCTTGGAAACCCCATGGGGGCAGTTCTACTCTGTCCTATAGAGTCACTATGAGTCAAAATCAACTCGATGCCAAAGGGTTTATAACACAAAAAGGCTGGACCCGATCATTTCTGAGAACCACAACAGTTGTCAACTTGGGGCACCCCAGAATCACTCTGGGAGCTTGATAAAAGACCCAGGCACTCCACAGACTTATTGAATGGGCTTCTTCAAGGGGGCCCAGGCATATGGACTTGGACAAAACTCTCAACGGAGTTCCAAATGTGAACCCTTAACTAAGACTCACTGGACCCTTTCAGCTCTAACAGTCTATACAGTTCTCAGGATAACATATATTACTAATCAAACTTAAAAAAAAATTTTGACTTTCATTCTAATAGTATCATTCAACAGGCATTACCTTCCCCAGAGTGAAGAAGGTGATCCTGCAATAAATTAAAATGCTGGCTGGGACTTGGCATGGGGAAACACCAGAGTCTCGAAGGAGGACAACCAAATCTCCTGAGACATTACATGTAAAGTGCCAAGGAAAGGGCCTGATGCACAAGGGCCCACAACAAAAGGGAGCTCTCATTTTTGTCTTATTATTGTGATGATTATTACTACACTGTGGCCATTTAACAATCAGAGTTTTAGGTTTGTACTCCATCCTTGCCAATAAGCGGAGGGTTACCGTCATTAAGATTAATTGGTCTCTAGCAATTGCATGGAGATGAAAATGGAAGAGACCTGCAAGCATCAGCCCTCCCTTGAAACAGATGCACTAGGCTGACTTCTACTGAACTTAGGCTCAGAATGATCTGCTTCCCCATGCACAGATGCAGACCTTGCATCCTTCCCCTCAAAACTGGTTTGATCTTTGACTCCATCAACTTACGTTTCTGTTTCTCAAACACCACAGTTGGTCCCAGTTGGGATTGCTTTATTACTTCTGCCTCTTTCCACCTTTCGACCTATGACACGTAGCCAGAGGAGTCTGGCTTGGAAGTGCCCACCTTGACAGAGTTAATAGAGAACGAGCAATCTCAGGCCAGGCGCTTAAGGATGAAATGGGCGTTTTAGTGTCTGCACTGCCTTTCTTACAGTGTGGTTTGGAGGAGGAAACGAAGCCAAATGAAAAGCGGCACTTTGAAAATGCAGTGTGCGGTATTCATCTTAGATACACTTTTAGAGAGGAAGAAACGTCCTTCAGAAAAAAGACACATTTTCTGGCTGTGATTCAGTTCAACATCCTTTTCTCTGCTGTCTTAACCATATCCCAGGTAATAAAACATAGTTCTCAGGTAAGCAATGTCCTCAAGGATTCTGAAGAAGTTCCTAATGTGACCACAGTATGTCCCTAGTTTGCCTGGCTCTAAACTACTGCCTGGAAGAAAGCTGCGAATATTTGAAAGTAACAATAAAGTGTTCAGAGTGATTCTGACTAAAATCACAGCAGTCCCTTTGGTACAAGGGCAGTAAATTTTTGCTCCGGTAAAATGTTCAGGAAAGAAACACAAGGAGAGAAGAAACAGCTTGACAAAATCATATAAATCTTAGCTAAAGAATCGTCACTTTTTTTTTTTTTTTTTTAAATAGCCCAAATCCTGTTTGACAAAACAATGCATGCTGCTTTTCTTGGGGCAAGTTACTCTTGAGAGCAATTATGTCTCAGATTTCCCAGGAGAGTGATTCTGACAGAAAGAATCTGCACCTAGGCTGGTAAGAATGATATTATTTTTACACACATCATAGCACAGTAAGGAGTTACCATCACACCCTCAAATAACCATGTGGTCAGCAACAAGACATTTTTGGGTCTTTCTGTGAGAAGACACTCTTGTCCCCAAGGTGCTTGCTTTAAAACTAGAGCCTTTGCATTAACTTCCCAATGGGGTAAGGGAACCATATAACAGTTCACTGGGGTCTGTTTGGGGCCCTGGTGACGCAGTGATTAAGAGCTCAGGCTGCTAACCAAAAGGTTGGCAGTTCGAATCCACTAGCCACTCCTTGGAAGCCCTATGGGGCAGTTCTACTCTGTCCTATAGGGTCACTATGAGTCAAAATTGACTTAACAGCAACGGGTTTGGTTTTGGGAACGGGTTAGGGTCTGTTTGCATTTCACCAAATGAAATAAGAGCTTTGGTTCATTCAATAACATTTACCACATGAAGCTAGCTTCCATCTTTTCAATATCCTTAAAACGGCAAAATTCCCATTTATGGGTTTGACCTTGGAATTGAAGCTACAGCTCACCCACCCATTCCCTAAACATCCCAGTTGCACTTTAGTGAGTTTGATTTTTGATAAGATTAATTTTAGGGGAAGGCTGAGGGGTTCTACCTCAGCAAGAAGACTGGTCAGCTGGTGTGAGGAGTGTCTGCTCCCACAAACCCCATTCTTCTTTTCTACTATACCCAGGCCCCCTCCATTGGCCAGCCAACAGCTAAGGTGGTACACTGGGAACAGCATTCCTTTGAAAGAGCTTGGCAATTTGTGCCTGGAATTTGATGCATCAGTTCTAAAATTAAATAAAGATCCTGTAGTGTTCTTCAAAGAAATATGGTGTGGCTGTATGACAAAACACATTTTTCAAGCTCTGACCTCTGGGAACTTCAACTAGCTCCATATTTCAGGCTGACATTACTCACATGCTATTGTCTAGTTGCCCAAGCCAGGGCTGGTTATCCATATATTTTTCCAGCCTTCTGATCAGCTTTCAGCATAGGAAGAAGAGGGGAGTAAATAAAGAGAAGAAAACCACTAATTTAAATATACTTCTCCTCCCAGTCCCTTGGGGAGAAGCCCTGGTAATTAACTCTAATGAGATTAAAGTAACTTGGAACTCTCCATTTTCCCAGCACGGTAAAAGTAAATCTGCGATAACCGATGTGTGTGCATTAAATCAACGTCAGACCCTTTTCCTGGAATTTAATGACTCCCCTCACTCCTACCACCCGCGCCCGTCTAAGAGGGGAGAGGGAAAGTTGACGGCTCTTACCGGCACTTTGCTCCATCACTTCTTTCTGACACATGTCTTGAACGTTCACCGTGCAATTTACAATGAACTCGGGGGAGGAGCAGTCGTTGTTAAGCTGGAATTCTTCACACTGGTAACACTGGATTTGCAGCGCAAAGCCTGCGGGACAGACACAGCTGGGTTCAGGTCTGGCCCCCACAGAGCCCACTCCCGAAAACACCAGTCTCCCCTGTCCCAGCCTGCTGCCGCTCCGGCCTCTAGAATGCCTGGGAGAAACCTGGGTCTCCAAGCAGGGTCGGGATGTGCCTGAAGCCGGCAGGGGGCGGCGCAGGCAGCCAGGGTCCCGCAGGATAAAGCGGAATTCTGCTCGCAACCCTGGGAACCCAGCTCCACCAACAAAGAGTTCATCCAGTACCACCCTCTGTCTTTTCCCAAGGAAGTTAAAAGGAGAGGACTACAACTCCCACGAACGCCGTCGCTTCAGAGACGTGAATCAGTGCCGGTCTACACCAGAGGGTTTACCTAATTGCTAATTGGTTACAAACTACTTAATTACTATTTTGGCACCATTCACGATTGCATTCGCAACTGCCTTTTTAGTTTTCTTTAATTCTTGAAGTCATCGTTCCTGTGCTGTGGTTCCGAGGCTCCCTGCGCGATCACCCGGGAACCCTGGAGGAGGCGCCGGAGAAGTGCTACAGCGCTCCTAGTTCGCCGGCGCGGTTCGGCGGTCCGTTCCCGGGACGACTCCGGAGGCGCTGAGGGTGGCTGCAGCGGGTGGGAGCTGGCGTGCATGTGCCTATGCGCGCACCCTGGGTCCCGACACCGCAGCCCCTTTCCCTGGGGCCCAGGCTTTCGCGGCAACTGGTTGGCTAGGCTCCGCAGCTGAGGTCCTGGCTCTGCAGAACTTGCTCGCAAGCTGGACTTCGAAATGGAGAGAGAAAGCGAGACGTTCGCTCCTCTCAACTCGCCAGCCTGGCTGCTCTGCTCGGGTCTGCGAGCTTCCGTCTAGACTTAACTGACCGCCGCCCTGGCAGAAGAGCCCCGTACCCGGCGCGCCTCCCTTAAGCCCCACGTAGGTCACCCACCGAGCGCTGCAGCCGAGCCCCGGCGCGCCGGGCCCGCAGCCTGCTCAGGGCGCTGCTCACCTGTCAGCGGCGCCACTCCCACGGGTTGGCAGCGACGCCTGACAACTTGATGGGGTTCGGGGTCGCCCCGTCTTCTTCGCCGAGGCCCAGCACGGCTCGGACCCTCCCTCCTCCCCAACCCAGCATTGTCTCCTGACGGCGCAGCCCGAGCAGCTGCAGCCGGAGTCCAGCAAATCCGCCGCTCTCCTGCAGCGCGGGACTTAGAGACTTTCCGAGTCCAGCGCCTCTAGACACCAGTCGCCGCCGCCAAACTCCCGCTGGGCAGCTCCGCGCTGCGCGGGTTCCCGAGGAGGGCGCCCTGGAGGCGGAGGGGCAGCGGGCCGATGGGGATGTGCGCGCCTGGCCCGGCTGCTAGCCGCTGGGTCTTCTTTCTTACCTGGAGGCAAAAATAATCCGCAAAAAGTTGCCGCGATGCCGAGGACCCACATCCTCCCGGAGCCGCGGGGCCGGGGGCGGGAAGGCGCATCAGAAGTGGCGACCGCTGCGTTGGCTGCCCGGGCCGCAGTAGCTGTGGCTGCCGAGGCTGCTGGGGGCTGCGCTGCTGCAGCCGAGGCGACGGTTGCCGCCGAGAAGAGCCGCAGGTGCCGCCGCCGGCGTCCGCATCGCCCGCGCCCGGGCTCCCAGCTGCGGGTCGCCGCTCCGCCCGCTCGCGCTCCGGGGTCGGGCTCAGCGCCTCCGGAGTTGGTGACTGAGACTGAAGCGAACTACTGGCGATCCAGAGCACCCAAAAGTCTCGCCTCTTCTCCTACCTCCCACTCCAGGCACCACGTGACGGCTGCAGAGTTCGGGTGGGGGTGGCGGGCGGGGAAGGCTGGGGCCGTTTCTCCACGTCCCCACCCCCTTTCTGCCGCCCTCCTCTCCCGCCCCGCCAGTCTCCGGAAAAGAGGCACGGGAGGGGTTAGTTTAGGAGGCTAGAGGTTGAGGGAGCAGTGGGGAGGGCGTAGCAGGTGCCGCGGGAACAGCCGGGCGCAGGCAGGGGGACCGGTGAGCGGAGGCGGGAGACGGCGTGTGAGGCTGGCCCTTGGTGCGTAGGGGTGCGTCTCCGGGTCCTCTGCGACCCCTGGTCTGGCCAGCACCGCCACCGCGAGGCCCAGCCCACCCAGCCGGGACTGCAGTGCAGCGGACAGCCGGAGTGGGGCGCACAGGGCGGCTGGCAGTGGGAGGCTGGTTCTTCTGCGCTGGCAAAGTTGCGCACCTGCAAGCTCCCTAAGGCGTACACACCTCCTCGGAGAAGCCCCTTGGTCATTGCCTGGCTCGGGTTCAGCTGCTGGAGGGAGTGGGCGGGGGCGTGGTGAGGCGCTTTCGCTCCCAGCCTTCTTCCTCTAATCCTTCCTCGCCTGTGCGCACGGCTGAAGGGTGCTTTGGCACCCACTCCGGTCGCCTAGTCTAGGAGGGGGCCACCCCGGGGACGACTGCCTTAAGCTCCCACCAGAAAACTAGGGTGAAGAATGAGATTGTTATCTTCCACCTCCTCCCTCCAAAACGCCGGGCACCTCCATTTTGCTGTCCTCAAAGTCACAGGTTCTTAGTCTGTACTCCCGCGTCCTCTCCCGTATAGCGCCATCCCAGTCCAGGACTAGGGTGCTGGCTGTCAGGGGTTGTTTTCCAAGCCCCTCCCCCACCATTCCTCCCCCCTCTGCCAAGTGCACGCGACCCACCTTGTGGGCTCCCGGGGACTTCTTGGCCACGTTCGCTTTCCTCGCCAAGCCTTGTTGCAGGTGGTGCCGGAGCCCGTCGGCCAACCCCGTGCGCCTCAATGCCCCTGCCCCCAATCTAGCAAGCTCCGACGCCTTTACTTCAAACCCCTTGGGAGCGTCCATTTCAGGGGAAGCTTTCTCAGGCCAGGACGCTGATCATTTATTTCCCTATCCTGTCAGCGGGGCAGGTCTAGATATAAGCTTAAATGACTTACTTCTGATTCCTTTGCAGAGATTCTTCCCTATCTCCCTCTGGCGCCTTCTCTCCCTTTGCGCCCCCCCCCTTTCATTTCTAGTTAACCCCTCAGGGAGCCTGAAATGCTTTGACCATTACTCGCTTGTCTGCAGACTCTGATCTTACAATTGACTGAATTACTATCACTGGAGCAAAACAGCCCATTTATTTACTCCTTCGGGGAATTCATCGCTGGTACTCGAGTGAGTCCCGATTCAATTAACTGACTGGGCCAAGGATCCTTTAACAAGTTCGTTTAAGCTTTCGGAGGGTACACTTGTGATAGAACTTTTATTCAGAAATGAAACAAACGAATTTTTAGAAGTCTAAATGACAACGAAACTTTACATAATTTTCATGTAAGATAACAAAATTCAAATAGAACAAATTGCACAAATTAACCAAATAACACTGATCGTACTCTTTAAAGAAACGAGTGTGTGCTAAGTAACCATACAGATCCTAAAAATATTTCTATTATGCCTAGTTTACAAGCTCCTGTACAAAAGCAATTATAAATAGTCCACATCTAGAAAAAATACACATAACCTTTGAAATAGAATTTATCCTTACATATACAGTATCTATAGAAAAAAGAATATTAAAAAGTAATAATTTTTTGTAGCACCAACCATTCATTTTATTAAAAAGTGAATACTGCCAGTAGGAATTTGCTTTCTAGATTGCCCAGATTTTAATAAAAAGATCAAGAAAAGAAAACCCAACCATGTTTAGAATCATAGAGAAGTAAGTAGAAGAGGATGTAAGGAAATGTTTGGAGGGAAAACCTGCTGTTGGAAATAGATCACTTCTGATACACATCCTTTTCAATCAGTGTCACACTTCAGGACCCTTCTCATTTTTCAGCAGAAGCAGAATTACACTTATTACTAGCATCTGAATCTCTCTGGCAATAATTTTGAAATTGCAGGAGAATTGGAATTTACATCAAATGTAGATTATGAGATGGAAATTAACCATAATCCCTATGGTTTTTCAGCAGGCCCTGTTTTAGGTTTACAAAGTGTACCCGCAACCAAGTTGAGGACTAGCTCAATGAACTTTACAAAAAACTTCAGCCGGATTTGTAAAAAATATATTATCATCAACTTCTAAGACTTAGTACATCATTTCAAGAGCATGGCACTGAATCCATTTATTGCTATCATTTTTATTTGCTACAAATATAATTTCTTTTCCAAAAAATTTACAACTTCTGTACAAGTACTCAAAAAAAAGTGCAAAATTAAGACTTCCGTATCATGCGTGTGTTTACTTTCAGTTCTCATGAAACACAACAAATGGAGTCCATCTTTATTGCTGTGTTAGAGAAGTAAGCTCCAGTGAGTTGCTTGTTGTGAATCTGACCAGGCAGGCTCTGGTGTTGTAATAGTTTATTGTTGTCCCTCCCTGGCCAGACCCTTACATTTCTCAAGTGCTCCATTCCCAGCTCACTAAGGGAAGAAAAAAACAAAGGCATTTATATATCATTTGAAACTTGGCTTGCACCGGAAGAGAAGCTATCATATAAAGAATCACTCAAAGATTCCATATTGTCCACCCCAGGCCTATCTGAGCTGCTCAAAGATGCCTCTTCATTTTTTTCTTTTTCTTCTTTTTGTCCTTCAACCTTGCTCAGAGAGTTCTTGTCTTTTTCTAATAAAGTCAGGGTATTGCTGTTAAATCTATTGAATGACTCCAGGGAAATTTTAGATAATCTATTCTCAGTATCTTCTTTTGTTTCTTCAACTTGTTTCAATTTCTGCAATAAAAAAGAGGAAAATATTAGAAACATATTTCTTTGGAAAATCAAGTTATCCTATCCAATATTCAATTATTGTCTGTATAAAGTGCAGTTTAAAGGGATAGAAAGGACCTAAAAGTCTTTAACTATCTTCTAGTATAATTAAATGTAATAATAAAGCCAATTTTAGGGATAAATCAAGACTTTAATCATTTTACTGAGATAAATTGGTCCCAATTTGCAAACCAGTTAAGTGCCACTTAATTTCATTGTAAATGGATCCATCTGAAATTTGTTCAGGTAAAGTGCCTTATTTTTCTTAATCGAAGTTTCAAACTTCTCCTTTTCTTTACTAAGTATTCGTTGTGCTATTTCTAAATATAGATAAGGATTGAATTTCAGCCAGAAGTTAGGGTTCTATGGAAAAAAGGCATAAAATCTCTTAAACTGCCATAAAATTTTAGTGCTTGTTAAAGTTATCAGAAGCATTGTCATGCTTATATTTTGTCCCTTTATACGACTTAAGATGTTTGAAAGAGATGTTAAGATCTGGGGGTGTAGCTTCCAAAAGGCTCAAAGGCTTCAAACTCATAGTAAGAGCTCAGCTGCTAACCAAAAGGTCAGCCATCCGAATCCGCCAGCTGCTCCCTGGAAACACTATGGGGCAGTTCTACTCTGTCCTATAGGGTCGCTATGAGTTGGAATCCACTTGATGGCAACGGGTTTGGTGTTTTTTTTTTTTTGGCTTCTCTCTAGGAGGCTCTTGTAACAATACCAGTTTAAACAAGGGTATTTATACGATGTTGTTGGTACTCTCTAGGACGTTATAAAATACTGCAGCCATATTCAATAATTATTGTAGGTAAACCCTGTTAACATGAATATGTTTATTTGTTTAACTGGCTCTAAGGTTCAGGTCTGGGGAGAGGAGAGAGGGAGGCACAGGTGCAAAAAGCAGTGAGAAGTATGGAGGTGCCCAAGCCACTAAGACGTTTCTCACACTCTTTTGTCAAAATTCCCATTTAATGCAAGTATAAAGTAGGTAGAGGACTTAGAGATAATAAAAATAACCCACTGCCGTGGAGTCGACTCTGACTCATGATGACGCCATAGGGTTTCCGAGGCTGTAAATCTCTACGGAAGCAGACTGCCCCATCTTTTTCCCATGGAGCCGCTGGTGGTTTTGAACCGCTGACCTTGTGGTTAGTAGTCGATCGCCTTAACCACTGCGCCAGCAGGGCTCCATTTATTAAATCTCCACTATGTAGAAGACACTTAACGTATTTTATCTGTAACCCTCTTCACAAACCTGCAAGGTACATATTCCCATTTTAAAGATCAGGAAAGCAAGGCTCCGAGTAAAGTTATTTGCACAGCGTTGTCCAGCAAGTGACAGAAAACAGGATTTTAATTCCTGTCTGCATTCCATGCTCTTGTTATTTCCACTAAACCATGCATTTATGTAATAAAGGACAGGGTGTCCTGTATACTTTTTTTGTTTTCATTTTGCCACCCAAATATTCTACTTAAATAACTTGCCAAACTACCTCTGCTGCTGCTGCCCAAAGCTCTATCATATACAGACCCACCTCCCATCATTACAGTGGATGTACAAAGGTACAACGAAGAAAATGGGTTTTGATCAGGAGAAAAAGAGACACAGCCTATGAATCAACAGCCTATGGATTCTCATATGCTTAATATTTAATAGAAAGAGAAGAGAGAAATGCAAGTGGATGGTCTGGTCTCCCAAGAGCAGACTGAGGCAGAGTTTCTCTCTCCCTTATGGGAAATGGCATACTTCTATGGGACTATCTGAACATCATCCTTGAACTGGTGCTTATTTCATTATACTATTAATGTACAAGAGCATTACTCACTGAGCTAACTTTCAATCTCAAATGGCTACCCTGAAAGCAGAGGCCAG